ACAACACCAGTCTATAATGATTAATTATGTATATACGAGAAGAAAAAAAAACTCGTAACAAAGGTGCTTTGTTTAACCTAAAAATGACCGATTATTTGCCACAAACTCCCAACATCGATCACAGGAAAGACATGTTGCTATTTTGACATTTGCGACCTTTACCAAGAGATATTGTAAATACTAGAGCCAAAACTGTTACAATCAATCGCTTATGGCGAAGATTGTAACTATCTGTATAAAGATTATATTCTGGAGACAAAGAAAGATTATTTGATCTTTACAAGACTCTATTGTGCGTTATTTCAATTGAACACAGTGACTACAACCTGCAACACAACGAACTAGATGTCATCATTGTGTTTTATGGCATTAGGTTTTCTTGTTTGCAAACACAGTTTTACAGACTCAGAGTCTTCTTCCTAGTCAAGTACTCATGCATCATGGACCAACCATATTAGCATAATCTTAATGGATCAGAATAGTCTGTGCATACTTTAATTTTTTTCCTGACATTTTCTTTTAACCTTTCCTGAAGATAAAGATTCCTTAGAATTTTGCCTTTCCAACATTCCACAATTTTTATGATTGCCTTTTGGGATGACCTGTTAACTCCTATTTCCTCGTTTTAAACTTTCCACCAACTACTCTGTTAGAACTCCCGTTTCTTATCGGTCGTCTTTGATTTGTCCAATAATAGAATCTCCTTCTTGCCGTAGAAGCCAGCAGCTCGTCTGCTTGGACTCAGAGCAAGAGAACCTACCCCTGTGCCCTCTTTGGGAAGACACCATTTGTTATTTTACGAAGAAAGCATGGTAAGAGTCGCGAATTTTGTTGGAATCAGACACGTTGCTTTGATCGTGGAATACTGTAGCAGGCATTAGAGATGCGCAGTATAGAGCAGATGGATCGAAGGAGTAGATTCCACATCTTTTAAAAGATTCTCGAAGACTTTTACCAGAGAGATATAGGTTCTAGTCTCTGCATGCGTTCTCTCATATCGCATGCTTAGAAACAGATGACATTTCTCGCATGAATTTGGACCTTTCGTTACTGTATATTTTCTAAAACGATCCGAAACATTTGAAGTCGATTTGTTGTAGGGATGACTAGTGCGTGGCGGTAATATAAACAAAATGATGTTACGATGCTTTGCTCAACCAAAGATTGCTGAATATTCATGTGATCTGTGCCCATCATACAACATAAACAGTGTCATTCCTTTGTACATAGCCAGTGAAATATTCCTTGCGATATTTCCTGAATAATTGACCATTGGACCATCCATTCTCACTAACAGTACCAGAAACACCAGTTCCTCCACCTTCAAGCAATTAATTTCACCTTCTCAGAAATACAAGATAGGCCGTAATATATTTCCAACCTTTAAAACAGTTTTGCTATAAGACATTCCATTACTAATTGCCACTGGTTTCGAGATTTTGTTGGCGACTACAAAAGTAGGGGTATAAGTGTAGGAAATTCCCTTTTCATCAATGTTGCAAATGTATTGTGGTTTCTATTTTAGGTTATAAGAGTTCGCTTTTTTCTCAAGTTCTTCAAAATATGCTGTTATTTTCTCTCTGAAAGTGGATTTGGCACGAGTGATTGCGAGTGAGCTTGATGTTTTAACTGTTACATTAGGCCATCTCAATAAGAAGTTGCAGTGATAGTGGATTGTTCTTCTGACAAATTCCAATCTTATCAGTAGAGTCACTGGCCAAATTACATACATCCGGACGGATATAACCATAGCCTGCTTTCGCCAAAAGCGAAATGAGTTGTACAGGCCTGGATTCCTTCTCGAAGGAAAATAATAGATTTGACACTGGTTTAACAGTGTCAGTGTCCACGTAGCCAATGATATGTTGGCTTATAGTTATTTCTAGAGCACTATGATACGTTGCCGTCTTTTTCGCTGGCATTTTCTTTTCTTTAACATCTATGTATGTTTTTGTAAAAGTTTCTAGTTCATTACTATGGTGTCGAGTCAAGTTTCCTCCATTCTGAAAATCATGCAAAGTACGTGCAATACATTTATAACAGGATTAGTAAAATATAATATTTTATCGTCATAAAATTACATAAATAGTAATCTACCAAAATGTAAATATTGATATTTTAAACAAATTATATTGCTTTCAATATATCCGATTCTTTTTCCTATTCAAAACTGGAAACAAGAAAAGATAGGAAAAGGAAAAATGTCATGAAATTTCACAGCGAAATTAATAATCATTTCATTATTAGACCTCTGCAGTTGTGTATATCTCGCTCTATTAAAACTGAGATTAGAAACTCTGAGATTACATTTATAGTAGTCTATCAGCATAAATATATTCTTGTGTATAAAAATCCATCAATATAAAATTAAAGCAGTTACTTTTCACCATCCGTGTCTCCAAGGTGTTTGTCTGAAACCGTTGATTTGTCATCTTTTTATGAATAGCACAATCTTTCATTGTTTCAAAGCGTCTTTTGGTGAAGACTTTTGCTAATTTTCTTGACAAAAAACTTCGTACAAATCAATATTTAATTTTCCGGTGGCGACTGCATCACATTGAGAATATTTGAATCATCACTAACGCTGTTATCTGCAGTAGAATTCCAATACCAAATACTTTATATATATATATATATATATATATATATATATATATATATATATATATATATATATATATATATATATATATATATATATATATTGGAAAACATTTAAATGTCATCGTCCGAAAGTTTTGGCAATAACATATTTATATTTTTATTTATATTTTTTACTATATACATCCAAACATTTCCCAAAGATAAGGAAGAAGTTTGTTTCAAATTGTTCCCGAAGCGGAAACTGAAAAACAATCTGCGTTGTAAAGGTTTCTTAAACAAAGCAAGACACGATTTAAAGGCTGCTGTAACATCGAATTACGGCGTAATTAAATTTCTTGTTATTCCATACTTATGATTATAAGAAACCTAAAGCAATATCAGGATTTATTAATTATACGCGTGAAATATTAGAGTCCCTTATATGACGAGATATATCTAAAAAGTATCAGATACCTTTGTACGTAACGAATTCACCGTCGTTTCATTAAAGATGATTTTTGTCTAGGCCTTTCAAAATCCTTGTGGTGCCACATATTTAAAATGGATTTCAAAGTCAATTACTTCACTTGCATGCAGTTTAAGATAGCCGACAGCCCTTAGGGTGAGGAGTGCCAGATATACTAATATTCTGACAAAAATGAGATTTCCATTCATTATAAACGCCATAGTTCGATTTTCTACGATCAAAACTTGTAAATAATAGTAGAAAAAAAATTAGGAAAAAAAAAACATGGAGAATGCTTCTTCTTGTAAGACATTGATGATCTTTATGTTTTTATTGTGGGGAGAAGGTCACACGTGTGCATACGCTAGTTCTCCTTACTGTTAGGACGGCACACTTAAATACATAATACAGCTGTTTTAGACATGTCTCCAAAACATTGCTAAATCCTGAGGCAAAATGAGAAGAAAAAAATCTAATTCCAGTCTTGTCACTAGCAGACGACAGATGCAGTACACGAGTCACTTGAATCAGCATCGCCTCGAATTAGGAACGTCTGATGCAACGTGTTGTAATTTTGTAGTGTCAAGGAAAATATACTGCACAAAGTAACAAAGGAATGATTTTTTGCGCGTATGATTCGATCAACACTCTGGGTAATGTTAATTTAGTCTTGTCGACGGCTGAGATGTAAGCAAGTTTTGAAAAAAATTTCAATCACGAAAGACTCAAATTACAGCTTTCGGATAATACTATGGTCAACATTTTATTCCTAACGACAATGATTTCTCTCAGCAGTGATATGTATGTAAAATATGAATGGTTAGGAATTGTCTAAAGCTAACTGAACCAATAAATATCGTGTTATGTTTTCAGTTAAGCTAAATTCAGTTATCTATATTTTTATCTATGTTTATTTAGGAATCTTCTTCGAAGTGTTGACTGCTGACGTTTAAAATTATCACGAATTACTTTCATAGACTTTCATTGTTCATGTCTTTAAACATGGTATCGATACAATAAAATATTTTATGGTACCTTTAAGAACATTTAATACTGCTAAATGTTTACGTTTTTGACGGTGAATGTTCATTTTTACACATCTGACCATTGAAAGAACCTGACTAATTAAAGATGAAAACACGTTGGATCCATGAAAAACCGATGAAACTCTATAAGAAACTATCAAATTAAAAGTCACACTATACATACTTTATCATTTGTACTGTTACGGATATATGAATAATCTATAAATTTTATAATATAGTTTTTTTTAAGTCTTTTGGGTTTTTTACTTTTATATTTGAAATTCTTTAATTCCATCACTGAATTGTATTATTGTAAGATTATTTATATAACAATTGTAAAGTCTCCGTTATAAATCAAGGCTGATTGTCTAGATCAAGTCAACAACTTTTTCTGTCAAGTACGCTAAGCATTTAGTTTGAAAAGAGGTCACGAAAATATCACAAGAATAGGAATGTATATGTCCTGTAGAGATACCAAACAGAGACAAGACAAACAAATAAACAGAAAGACCGTAGTGTTTGCAAAACTTTATATTGCTGTTACTACAGGAATTAAACTTTAAATTTATTGTTTGAACTAGTTTATGTTCCCGTGTCCGCAACAAGTTGAAATAAACTAGTTAAAACAAATTGTAAATTTAAAAGTTTAATCCTGTGGAAACAACCATTTAATGTTTTGCGAACTCTAAGTTTTTTTCTGTTTTAATTGTTTGTTTTGTCTGTTTCGTATATGCCTTTGAAAAAGACTCGTCAACAGTCGAAAGCGCTCAGGCTTGTTAGATACTAGTTTTTCACTGTTCATTGTCAATTTATTGCATATATTCATACATATATTCATGCATTCCAAATAGTATGGCTTTCAAATGTTTGGTGTAAAGCAATTTGATATACCAATTCCAAGATATATCAAATTGTCATTTGCACATGGCGCTCAACCCCGGTGGACTAGTGGTTAGAGCTTCCGCCTCAGATGCGGGAGATCATGAGTTCGATCCCTGGCTGAGTCACACCAAAGGCTTATAAAAATGATACTAACAGCCGCCTCGCTTGGCGCTCAGCATTAAGTGGTTTGTGTTAGGAATAGTCAGACTGGTGTCAGAATAATGTGACTGGCTGGGACATCATGCTACATGTCTGTGGCATGATGCCCCAGTGCTAGACATCACTATTAACTGCAACGGTGCAGACATCGTAGCAATATGACTGAAAAAATGTTAAAGCTACGTTAAAAATTCAAAAACGCACAAAACATCCGCACATGGCGCATTAACACGCATATACACACACAAAGACATACTTTGGTTCAGTGATATCACATTGCGAACTAGCATGGTTTGGTGATATCTGTTTATGATTGATTCGGAAAATGTCTAGCTTGGCAGTGATTGTTTTCCAATCATTACTTCCAAAAAAAATGCCGATGCTCGAAACACAGACCATTAGAACTGATTAAAACAATGCTGAAGAAAGCTTGAGGGAGTATATTCCTATCATAAAATAAGATCATTTGATAAATCCCTTGACAATGAATATATTTAAAATCCATGCCTTGCACCATCTGAAACATTTCTATTTTAACTCTTTCTTCACGTTAAGAAGTCGAATGACGAATACTTTTGTATTCCGATTCGCCTTTAAAAGCACATCAAGGATAATACGTATGAAACACAGTTTGCGTCAATAAAGTTACATGATTAGGAACTATCCTCGTAAATTACATTTTATGGGCAATTGCGGTGAAATTGAAGCTCTTATTTGATGAGCGTTTTCCCCCTACCTTAATTTGTGAGAATATCAAAGAATTAGATATCAATAGAGAAAATTTCATACCGAAATATAACTTTTAGTATGAAAGAAAAGAGAAAATATGGCAAGATAAGATGGGCAATTCTGTTTTACAGACAAGATTTTCACGTAGATAAATATCGAATATTTCAAGACCGTAGTAACTGAATCAGTTTATTTATTAAATGAATTCTTAAATATTCCATGTCTCTGGCTACGTGATGTTTTAGACAGGGCATTCCCAGCGTAAGACTATTGTAATTACCAATAGAAAGAACGTACTGTTGTCATCTAATGTTTGATTATCCAACCGACACAATCATATAGTTCAAACATTTACACATCGTCTTAGCATACGACTCAAAGTATTTTAACACGCCACTTTCAAGTAAATTTGATTTTCTTAACTTCAGTGTGCTCAGTATTTTAAAAAAAATACACTTGTCATTTTTGTCGATATTGTGCAATTATGAATGGTAAGTGCCTGCTTGCTTGGGAGGGGGTTATTATATCAATCAAGCAATACATCTAAATCCCCTAATAATAAATTTTCTGACAAACATCTGTGTAAAAGATAAATGCTATCAGTGAATAATAATATTCGAAAATACATCTTGCTCTGAAAAACATATCAAACAACGTATAAGAAGCGGCAAAAACAAATTATTTTATTTAAAATTAACGATTTCCTAATGCAAGGTAATATAAATCCCCACATGACAACATAGATACTCTACACGAGGAATGATGTAAACACGATAAGTTCACACGGTTCTATTATTTGTTATTTAAAGCATAATTGTCACATAATTTTTTCGACTAAGTTCTATAACTTCAATAATTAGACTCGCAACCTTTAAATATCCAATCAAAAATACTTTCTGCTCTTTTAGTATGTTGATCCACGATTGCATTGAAAGTAGGCTGATTCCACACTCTCCCTTAACCGGTGATATTGTTGCTATGAGTTTTAACCTTATTGCACATGCAAGGCAAGTGAAAATATAAACTTATGTCACGCTACGATTTGAAATAGCGATCCCTCTTTTAGCGGAAAAAAGAATCTCAAACGCAGAGGTCAAAATTTAATCACAAAATTTATAAGCAAAAATAATAATGCGTTACGATTGAATATATACTTCCTTCTTTTGAATTAATTTTTTCAAGGAATTTCAAATACAAATATGATTATATCAATATTCGATCTGTTAAACGATATAATTATTTCATCATCGGAATAAAACGATAGAATTATTTTATCATCGAATCGAGTGAAAGATTGAAAATCTTGCCGTGTATCGATCTATAACCTAATATCTCAATTCATTCAAAATTCACAGCGAGTGTTCCGTAGACTTTATTGTGCCTGTATGACTGAGTCTTCTCCACTGTCTTTCTTTCTTTTCCAGTTTCTCAGGTATTACGCCACTTTCGGCCCTTCCAGCTTTGTGTCCACTTTGGGTTTGGAATACGTGAAAAGTCCCATCACGTCAAGTTAACGTCTCGTGGAACTATCTCACCTTGAGTTTTCACGCTCTTGCTTTCCAAAATTGTGTCCCAATTCTTCCAGACAATAGTTTCCCTTGGATGATTTGAAGAGTGAATTTTCTTCTTCAATCACTCTGAATCCCGTTACATTTGTTTTATCTGGCTCGCCTGTTTTGATGAATAATCAAGTAAGTGGGTGGATGTTGTCGTAGTCATTCTGATAGTCTTGGATTTCACCATTCTCCGAAAGGTACGATATTTGCTCCGGAATACAGGTTGTTTGGCTTTTGCCTTTAGGTCACTTGTAAAATCCAAGACTATTAGAAGTGTGCTGTTATATTGCGGGAGGGGTGCTTGTTTTCTTTATTTGTAACAAATATTAGGGCACAATGTTAGTCATGAAATTTCGAACGTTTGTATCTACACTTAATTTAAAATGCAAACTATTGACATCGTCCGGAATACCTAATGCAAAGACTCTCTGAAGTTATTTGCTTATAGCCTCTAAAACTTCATCAGGTAACCTTGAAGTAGTTTTACAGTTCTTTGCTTTCTGGATGCGATAAAACATTTCAGTAGTTTGTTATAACAACCCTGCCTCCTACCTACAATATAAGTTGAATATTTTGGACACAGATACATATTACAGATTTCTATGTAACTAGATTAAAAGAGCTATCAAGGTACGGCAATGTGACATACTAGTATATATCTAACGTATGACTAAGCACGCATCACCAAAATATGATGGCACTGAGTCGGTGTTATATGAGCTCGTGCGTAGCAGACACTCGTATCACGACCTAGTAAATAATTCTGGAAACTCCATAGAGTATAAATTTAATTTCTCTAACCTGTATGATTGTATTGTTTGTATTAAACTACTAAATTCTGCCCACTATTATCAAGATTCTACTACAGAATCCAGGGATAGCACAGTCTGTTCTGTCTGGTATATATTTATAATTCTTTGCAATAAAAAATTCCTATATACCTTGATTTCTTTTATAGGAATATGGAACGACTGTGTGTGTGTGTATATATATATATATATATATATATATATATATATATATATATATATATATATATATATATATATATATATATATATATATATATATATATAATTAATGGTGATGCGTGCTTAGTCGTGACGGTATATCGGCTGGTGCGTGCAGGCAAGGCGATGGGTGCCATTTACTTGCCGACCTGGGATCGAAACTCCATAGACTACAAATTTAATTTCTTTAACCTGTATGATATTATTGTTTGTATTAAAAAAAAAATATATATATATATATATATATATATATATATATATATATATATATATATATATATATATATATATATATATATATATATATATATAGTATGCTTGAACTTGTATATATGTATAGTATGCTTCAGCCAGTATGTGTGTTACCGTCAACTTTCATCTACGTAACGTATGCTATAACTGGCATCTGTGTAACGTATGTTTGGACTAGTATCTATGTAATAGCCTAACTTTTCGTTCAACCCTGATTAGTTCCTGCAATCCGTACCTTACATTACAAAGCTGGTAAAGTCATGGTCAATTGCGCAGCAATTACCAGGAATTTAATGGTTGATTTATAAACAAAATTCCGATAAATGCAATTCACTTTCTGTGTCATTTCTACAGGTCCCGCCCTATAGTCTCGAGGTCCAAGGCAACGAAGCCAGGATGGTGGAATTATTGAAATATACATATTATTTTATGTCAATTGGAGTGTGGTTCTCGTAAGGCGCGAACCCAGAGCAACTGCCTTGCTTGCCTAGCGCTAACGCCGGTTCTTCATTTCAAGATATTATATACTAAACAAGGCTAGAGCATATAATAAGAAAATAAAAGAACCAATAATCCTTATTGCTCTATATTTGGTACATGAATTTTCTTATTACTTTCAGTGTACATTGGCAGTGGATGGAATAATGCCTTTAAAAGCAGTTTCGTGTTTGATAAAAGACTGACTGGACTATACTCTAGATGTATGCAAATATTACTGTTGTTAAAAAGATCAAAATGAAAATATAATATTTGGATTGTTATAAATCCGTAAGAAGCTTACGCATGAAAAAAATACCTATAAATAATTATATTTGTATTTGGCGTAAGTCGTTTATCCAAATCTGAAATTGAAATCACCTCGTTCACAAATCAACCGGAAGATTGGGACGGGTAGGCGGACGTTCTCAAGATTATGAGGTTGTACTTTCCTCTGGTGATTTATCACCGAATTCTTTTGCTTCATAAATCAATAATTCAGTCTCTTGAAAATTAAACATGCTCCTCTTGTGTGGATAGAGAAAGCAACATTGCATTTAATCAGTAATAAATGAACATTTTTCAACTGATACGTTAATTTATAGTCACTTGTATTCGGGAAGCAAAAAGTATAATAGTTTTGGAATGAAATACAGAATAGCAAACATTTAAATAGGATCAGTTTTTATTATGGGATCATTCATATTATAACAGATGTGCATTTAAAATTAGCTGATACTATTTTTAAATTTGCTTTCATCAGAAAACTTCAGAAAACTTCTAATAACTTAATTGGGTACGAAACTGCAAAAACGTTATAGAGCTTTGTATATCGAGTGCAGGTATAAACCTTCGTGCTGATGTAGAGAATCATGCTACATATTTGTACTTATAGAAGATAAACTCGGAACGATATACATAATCTAATGATAAGAATGAACA